ACGTCAGTGAGGACGACTGTCTGCCCGAGTACCGCCACCTCTTCAGCCCGGACCTGCTCCAGTGAGCGCCGCGCCGGGATTCGGGCTCGGGGCTCCTGCGGGAACGGCGTCCCTGAGCGAGCCCGCAGGGCTGGGGCACGTGGAGGAGCAGCCGGCCAGGGCGCGGGGCAGCGCTGGTGGGGCTCTGGGGAGGGGCGGGGGGGAGCCCGGTGCGCGGAATGGGGCGCGGGCTGGGCCTGGGAGCAGAGGCCTGGGGCGGCCTGGGGAGCGGCCAGGTGCCCCTCTGAGTGGTGGGGGAGGGTGCTGCCTGCTGGCTGGCTGCTGGCCTGGCCCAGGGCCCAGCGGCAGGCGATCTCTGCCCTGGAGAGCGCCTGCTTCTTTGGCCCGCGGTGGCTCTCCCTGCTGGGGCAGTGACAGGTGGGGTGGGCAAAGCTGCACCCCTGAAGACACTGTCCTCTGATCAGCGTTTCAGGCTGGACTCGCCCTCTGGGCATCCAGAGTTGGAGCCCGACAGCAGGGCGCCCTAGCCAGGTGGGGGGCCAGAGGACGGCGCCTGGAGAAGGCCCAGCTGACTCCCCTCTCCCCTAGGGACAAGGTGGCCTTCGTCACGGGCGGAGGCTCCGGAATCGGGTTCCGGATCGCAGAGATCTTCATGCGGTGAGCCCGTGCCCCTGCCCCCTCTGCCCGTGCCCTCTGCCCATGCCCACCTCCTGTGCTGCCCAAGCCTGGCCCCGGCCGGGCGGTGGCCCGGCTACACGCTGGACAGTGCATGGATGCCCCGTGAGGCCAGGGCCAGCGGGTGGGGCGGGCTGCGGGCGCCTCTGGCGGGTGAGCCTGGCTCTGCCTCGGTGCCCGTGTGCAGAGGGCGGAGCGCTGACAGCCGCCCTCACACCCTGCAGGCACGGCTGCCACACAGTCATCGCCAGCAGGAGCCTCCCGCGAGTGTCGGTGGTGAGTCCCCCGTGGCGCTGTCCGCCTCAGGGCCAGCCCGAGGGGGGTCCCCTCCAGAGAGGGGCCTCCTGGACGACCTGCCGGGCTCACCCTAGAGCCTGACCATTGTGTCCTGCGAGGGTCAGGCTGGCGGGCCGCCTGTCCCCGGGGTGGGACCTGTCCACCTGCGTGGGAGAAGCCTCTCGGGGCAGGCCGGGCTCAGCCGCTGACCCGTGGCCTGCAGGAGGGGTGGGCGCCTCACACTGTCCGCTAGAGGTCATGACCTCAGGGAGGGGCCACTGCTGCTCTGCCTCCTGGTGCAGAGCAGTGACCTGGGACGCGTTGGTCTCGTGACCCCGCTGCTGGCCACTCCCGCCTCCCCTGTCTGGCGTTTAGGCCGCCAGGAAGCTGGCTGCTGCCACCGGCCAGCGCTGCCTCCCGTTGTCTCTGGACGTCCGAGCTCCCCTGGCCGTCATGGCCGCCGTGGACCAGGCCCTGAAGGAATTTGGGAAGATCGACATTCTCGTGAACTGTGAGTCGCCGCCCAGTGAGGCCAGGGGGCTCGTGGCCACCCCAGACTCAGCGG